ATGTGTGTCTTTGCCCGTCAGCTGAGAGATCTTTGGGTACACATTGGTCCTCAGTACGTCTTAGCCCATCAGCTGAAAGGCCGAAGGAAGAGTCTTCACACCACACATACTGATCATGTTACCTGTCGGCTTGAAGCCCTTCAGTGGCTCCTGTGCCTGTAGGACAAAGTCTAAACTCAGTGCATCGATTCTTTTCCATTCCCCCATCTGACCTGCATCCCATAGCCTCACCATCCTATCTGAAAGGGTTAGCAGTGTACGCTAAGTGTAATGGTTGGGGGTCCCTTCTGTGCTGGAGCTGGAGCTGGACAGAATGTGGGCATCCCCCAAATCCAGCCTGTGAGTTCTGTGACCTGGAAGGGTTCACACTGACCCTCTCTCTGTCACAGCTTCTTCCTAGAGATAATGGGGACGGTGCTAAGTATTAGCTAGGTGGCTGTGAGAACTGAATGTGTGAGTACATGTTGAGCACACAAACCAGCACACAGAGCATGCAGATCTGTCCTAACTGTTGCCCTGGATGATAGTAAACACGGCAATGATGTCGCCTCCTGCCTGCCACACTCTCCTTCACCTTTGCCTGACAAATGTGCCCCTCCTTCTGTCTCAGGCCCTAGAGCATGACTTTTCCAAAGCCATTGCAGCTATGGGTTGTAAGCATTTGCAGGAGACTCGTGCTTGGTTTTAAAATCCAGGGTCTGCTGCTCCCTCTTTTCCTTTGGAATGAAGACTTAAGTATAAAATTAGGATTAGGGTATGAGGTGGGGGATTGGGCAGGGAGGCAGCAGAAAGGCATAGCATGTGAAGGGAAGTAACCCAAACGAAGTGAAGGGAAGTAACCCAAACCAAGTGTTATGATTTGCCTCAGGGAAAACCTGTTACTTTGTGTGCTAATTGAAACATTAGAAATAAATAAATAAAAATAAAGTCAAGATGTATAGCAACAAAATATCTGCCTCACTAGAGTTGTCAGGAAAAAAAAAAAAACTAGGTCATTTGTAAAACTGTCCATTAAATTCTTGGTTTGTCTTTGGTTTTGGTTTTCCTTAGCAGCCTTCCTTAGCTGTTTTAGGACATGGCTGACTGTGATGGAAAAGCCTGTTCGTCCAGCACCTACGAAGTGGAGGCAGGAAGATTGGGAGGAGTCCAAGCTCATTCTTAGCTGCAGATCTAGTTTGAGGCCAGCCTGGGCTACATAAGACCCTGTCACAAATGAACAAAACAAAAGAAAAAAAATCAGCCAAGGTGTTTATCATAATCCTTTTACATGTTTCTTATGGCTTCTGGGCAGGAAGTTAATTTAAAGACAAGGTCTCTGTCATCATCATATTAGAAGCACCAACACAACATTAGTCAATGAGCAACACAGTTTGGCCAATGCATGTGGCCCTCGTCACTCAACGCCGTAGGTGTCTTAGAGGACTGTGATGGGGAGAGGTGTTGTACCGGAATAATTCCTGTCTTTCTTTGGAAAAGACTGAAGTTGGACTTTAACTGGTGCCCCAGTGCTTTATTTGGCCCAGCAAAGGAGGAGTTTCTAGAAGCCTGGCCCAGAGGGCTTGTTTTGCATGGCCAAGATGCAACACAGTTTTTCCCATAGGACCAACTGGGTCATCACATTTCTTCTACATGGTGTTTATTTATTGTTCAAGAGCAACCTGCTTTTTAGCATTGCCTGGTTACCACACTCTAATGTCAGGCAGTTCCCACAGTTTCTCAGAACGGCCCATGTGTCCAAAACAAGCTGACTTCAGCACACTACTGTTTGGATTCCTTCTGTCAGTTTCCTGTCCTGTATAGTGGAAGCGCCATTGTCTCCTGCTGTGAGTGTGAGGAGAAGGTGTGGAGCAGATCGCTAGAATGCTGGGAATGTGGCCTTGGTAACAGTGCCCAAGTACTTGCCTGGATTCTGAAAGTCTTTGCCTGTGGTGTACTGGTTTTGTTACCCAGGGACACAGAGGTTCTCTTTTGGGTTCTGAGTCTCATTCATAAAAGTTTAAAATGACTCAGAAGGAGGCTCCGGGACAATGCATTCAGTTGTATTGGAGTGTAAGAGGAAAATTGTAGTATAGGTCAGGTGAAAATCCTGGCCATGCCAGGGGGGAAGATGGAGGCAAAATCATGTCTTTTAAGTTAAACTTGGAATATATTTAAAGTTAAAAGCTCTCCCAAGGGTGGGAGGGGTAATGAGCTGAGAAGAGAGCCCCAATCATCTTACCATATAGTGGCTGTGTGGCCTTTCACTGCCTCTCCCTCAGTGTTTCCTCGGTGCTCTCTTGGCACATGCTATGCTTGCTGGATAATCCAGAGTGAAGTGGAGGCTTCTTGTTTTCCCCCAAGCCCTGGCTTCTTCCTTGCTAATCTTGTGGCTCCTTTCTTCTGTCCCCAGAGTCTGGGCACATCATAGCCTTACTGGTCTCAGAGCCTGGATCTTCATGCCTCTTAAAATGTAGCCACGGGTTTCTGCTTAGAGCTGTGTATTTTTGTTTGATTCGCCCAATCAGGCTTATGCTTTCTGCAACATACTGATTCAATTAGCCTTTCATTCCGGGGTCCAGTTGTGAGTCAATTCTTGGGTTGTTAAGCAAAGTGAGTCCAGTGGTGTTTGCCTATCCAGAGGGGCTGTAATCCCCATCACAGTGCCATTAGTTACCAGTATGCTCCAGAGACTCAGAGGCACATCCAGGAGTGGGTGAGCCACAGGGGCCTCAAGGTTTGGCCACCACTGTCATCTAGGTTCTATGTAGAGCTGTCTGAGCTGAAGTTGACCTTGGCTGAGTTAGAAACCCAGGGCCGTTAGAGCATTTATTTCATGGCCAGTATTTTCTTTTCTTTTCTGAAATTAACACTCCATTCGAGCTGAACGCCATCCGATCCAGTTGAGTAAGCCTGGGGTACCTTTAGAGATTTCCTGCAGAAAGGAAATCCTTTAACCAGACTGTAGAAACAGCCAGGTCTTACACCATTCCTTGTGTTTAGTACAAGGTAGAGGGCACCAGCAAGGCCTTGGCTGTGTTTGTGGTCCAAGTGTTCACACATTCAGAGCCTCACCTAGTGGGGGAGGGGTGGTGACCAGAGCCATTTAGAGGTAGCCTGCAACCCTGCCCCATACCTGTGCTGAAAGACTTTCCAGGGAGTGCTGGTATTATGTAGAGAAGATGAAACAGATGCCAACAACTGTCCTGATCTCCCTTGTGATGAGCCCACCACCCAGAATGCAGAGCCCCCTGCAGTGTACTGTAAGCTGCGACCACTGCAAGGCCTTGGATGCCTTCTCTAGTTAAAGTGGTAAGAAAGATCCAGGCATAGTAGCTTATGCATGTGATCCTAGCACGGGGAAGCTCAGGCAGGAGGATTACAAGTTTGAGGACAAGTTTAACTACATAGCAAGATCTTATCTTAAAAAACAAAACAACCCTCACCACCCCCAAAACCTAGAATAAACCAGACCTTTGAAAACCTGTAACTCCTACACCTCTGCCCAGCTCAGTGCAGCAGACTCGGGCTTGCTGGGATCATATCAAGCTAAACAAATTATGGTTTCTCTTGTGCAAGAAGTAGAATCAGCACTGGGCATGTCAGCAGCCACCCTGAGTGGGAGGTGCATTGCTGGGTAACGTACATCTCCAAGTCCATTGTGTTCTTCCTTAGAAACAGGACTTCTCGCTGCCAAGATGGCCTCACAGGAGGCCATTTCTTAATCAGGATTCCCCAGCAATATCCTCCGAAGATCCCAAAACAGCTCCATGGCAAAAATGAACCCTCTACGTCCCCGGACCAGTGAGTCTGTGGATGCTCTTTGCTTCTGTATCTGCACAGCTTCACCAGTCAGGGCTTCCTGATGAATCCCACAGGCCTCTGGAGAGTTCTGGCAATGCTAACAGCCATATCTTGGCTGAGAGACTCTGCAGACAAGGCCAGCCACAGGCCTGCTATGCCTCACCCATCTCTCTTCACTCTGCCTTCACACTCAGAAAAACCAGCTCTTTACTGGCACGGGGCTGGGGACATCATGGGCCCGCAGTAGGGTAATCAGAAAAGGCTCAAGAGACAGAGACATGCATTTTTCAAGGCTCTAGGAATTATGGGAGCAGATGGGCTGTAGGATCTAATTTTGATGCCAGGAACATGTTTCTGTATAAAGTAAATATTTTCCCACTGTGGATCTCCGGTGAGCGTGTGGAGGAGCGTATTTCCTAAAGATGCAAATAAGTCTAGTCAGAAATAAATATTGAATGGAAACTTCAAAGCCTCTCCATTTCTCCAGTTATAGACCCTGAAGATTTCTGTCCAAACAAGCAGACACACACAGGTAGATGAAGGCTTGGGGAGAGCAGGTGGAAGGTTGAATAAAGGAAGGATATACCCATATCTTAGTCTCTCTCTCTCTCTGTCTCTCTCTCTCTGTCTCTCTGTCTCTCTCTGTCTCTCTCTCTCTGTCTCTCTGTCTCTCTCTGTGTCTCTCTGTGTCTCTCTGTCTCTCTCTCTGTCTCTGTCTCTCTGTGTCTGTCTCTCTGTCTCTCTGTCTCTCTCTCTCTCTCTCTCTCTCTCTCTCTCTCTCTCTCTCTCGGGCAGGGTGAGGGAGAGAGCAGGAAAGCGTGAAGAGACATGCTGACAAAGGAATTACAGTTACGTCTGTCCAGACAGTGTTTTTTCCCTCTTCATAGATATTTTGTATTTGTCATGGCACATACTATATCATACATATTTATGGGCTGTGGAGGTGACATCCCAATACACGTACATATGAAGTGTGTAATGATTTGACTAATTGGCATGTTTACCACCCTGGAAATGTGTCATGTCTTCGTACTGTGAACATCCGGTTTTGAAGTCACGATTAAGTGTCAGAAAACACAGTTGCCTCCTGAGCTTTGAAGCTTGGGAAGTTGATCCTCCGTCCACCAGCCACACCCTGAGCCTGTTACCAGCGTCTCCCTGACCCCCTCAGTTCAGGGGCCTGGGGTGTTCTCAGCACACATACCCCCTTTCTGTTGCAGATCTCGACTTGCAGATTTTTTTACCAACTGCCAGCCCGAGTCAAGGTCTGTTAGCAGCTGTCTTAAGGAGAACTATGCAGACTGCCTCCTGGCCTACTCAGGACTGATTGGTAAGACCAGGGAAGGGGGCAGGGTGGGAGGGGGAACGACTCTGGATTACAGATTTGTCTATTGCAGCCTTGGATGTCTGCAGAAGAGACAACTTCCCAGTAGCCTCCATACTAGAGTTTGAGGATAGCCGGGAGGGGGGAGGGAGGGCAGGAAGGGGGGAGGCTGGATGCAGGAGAAAGGAGACTTGGGGTAATTATGGAGAAGGAAGGCCACATATTCTAAAGTGAGTGAGGCATCTCCATTGGGGACCTGGCCAGGCAGGACAAAGGCAGGGGAACCCATGGCCATCGGGAGAAGAGATAAAGCCAAACACAGTCAGTCAAATAAAGGAAATGTAGAGAGCAGGAGCTTGGAAGTCAGAGGAGCTGATTCCAAGAAGTGGACCCTTGGAAATGGATTCCCCAACACCGTTAGGCTTCCCGCCATTATTGTTCTTAGTTATGCGATTCCTGTTGTACAGGGGGTTGTTTAAGGCTAATTTGTTTTTCCCTGTAAATAACTGTTTGGAAGCAGAAACAGTATTTTCTAGTCTGGGAGGCCTGCGGCGCTAGGAGAGCCATATTCTCAGTGTTCTAGAGAATAGTGAGATTAAACAAGCCTCCTGCATATGGAGAAAAATCTGCATATGGAGAAAAATCCAGAAAGAGGCCAGCTCACATCTGGGGTAAATAGTGCTGGCAAGAAGGCGGGTGTCCCCATGTGCCGAGGACAGCTGAAGCTTCTCTGTCAGAGCTCCATCACACTTGGCATTTGAGAGGTAACAGTGAAGGCTGAGGAGGGTGAGAGAAATCACAGCTGTCATACGGTCCTGGCTCAGTGGCATCTCCCTTCCAGGGTCCACATCAGGGTCATACAAATCACCAGCAGGAGCTCCCTCATCCTCAGAAGAGCCTTTGGTTTAAGTGAGGGAGTGCTTAATGGCAAACCGTTTCCAGCCTTTGACACCCCAGCCACTCCCAACTCTTTGAAAGGAGACCTGTGCTGCCACGTGTGATATCTTCAATACTGTCACAGTTCCTCCAGGAATGCGACATTTCTGTGGCCCAAGCCAGCGAGTGTACACGCCCTCCTAAGTTAGAACTGCAGAAACGGATTGGTGCTCTCCTTAATGCAGGTCTTAGTGTCTACCTGGGATTGAATATAAAATGATGGAATTGCAGAAATAACAAAAGCAATTAAGGCATACCACTGTTTAAAAAGGAAAACTAAAGCCAGGGATGCTCCCAGAAGACAACGTTAAGTCTCTGCAGATGTAATCTCTGCTAGTGCTTCAGTCTGTGTCCTTCCAGGAGTTCATGCTCATTAACTCCCCTGTGAGCCGCCAAGGAGAGGGACCGCCAGCAGTCTGTGAGATCATCCCTAGGCTTGGCAGAGCCTTCTGTGCCTCGGGATGATGAAATGGTAGATGGAGTATACTGTGCAGGCCAAGAAGTATTTCTCTCCTGGGTCTGGGTGTCTTCTCTGTGGTTTCCCGAGTCAGTGGTGCCTAACTTCTGCACAGAGCTTGCTTCTGCCTCTTCCATATGTCAGGGACCCATTGTCGCATCTGAGGTCAGTGGTTTTGACTTCCTTATTCTGTTCCCAGTGCCTGGTGAGTTAGACCTCCCTGTATGATGCAGATTAAATTCTCCTGCTAAGAACAGATTCAAGTTTAAAAACAACAACAAAAAGTAAGACCAGTAGGGCAATGACAGTATGTCCTTGACCTCAGAAGAGCTTCCAAAAACTCTTCTGTTTATAGCCAGTCATCCTCTGGATTGCTGACCGACTTCTTCCTTCTACAAAAGCAACTAAAAACAGAAAGTTCTTGGCATCCATGGGCATGGCCTGGTGTGAGCCACCCAGGAGAAGACATTCGGGTTGCATTAAATATGAATGCACTGTGTATTTCTCCCAGTGGAGAACTCACCAGAAAAGCTACAGCGATAAACAGGAAGGTCCACACAGCATCTCTGTGGGAACTGTGGGGATCCATAGACCATGCTTCAGGAGCCCTGGACTGGGGAAGTTCCATTGGTTTTTTCCCCTTTTCTTCCTTTCTTCTACTTTTTATTATTATTTTTTTGAATAGGGTTTCTTGTAGCTAAGGATGACCTTGAACTCCTGGTACTCCTGCCTCCAGCTCCCAAGTGCTGGGATGACAGGTGTGCACCACCAAGCCTGGCTTTATGTGCTTCTGGGGAATAACCTACAGGCAGGCTTGACAAGCACTCTACCACCTGAGCTATACCCCAGCCCTGTTTCCATCTCTTTCACACCTTCGATGAGTTTATTGAATCAGCGCAGGATCTGGGAGAGGAAGCCTTTTTATATACATCTGTTGACAGTCAGGATGTGGGGACCCTATTGGAGGCATCTGTATTCCTTCTCTCTATTACCCTCAAGAAGCCATTTGCCCCTGAGGAAACTGGATTAAAAGCCTTAAAAGAATTCTTAAGCTGTGTGCACCCAGGACTATTTATGAAGATTAATGGCATTTTTCAAGAAAATGCAAGGGATTTGGCAACTCATACATTCTAAGTTAATTCTCGCCTTCTCCATGACATCCATACCATTTGTGCAGGGAGAAAATACCCTAAACACAGCCCAAGGAGTTTGCTTTTAATTTTTAAAGTAAATGTATAAATTATTTTTATGTGCTCAAGATAAATTGCCAAGAAAACGCACCGCTTAACATAATTTCCCACCCAGCAAACACAGCGTTTGTAATTAGCCGTGGCATTTCCACCGCCAGACCGACATTTGTTTCTTGTTAGGCCACAGGAAAGTCCGTGTCAACCTGGAAGGATGACATGCCTTGTCTGTTTCTCTTTTAGGCACAGTCATGACCCCCAACTACATAGACTCCAGCAGTCTCAGTGTGGCCCCGTGGTGTGACTGCAACAACAGTGGAAATGACCTGGAAGAGTGTTTGAAGTTCCTGAATTTCTTTAAGGACAATACGTGTCTCAGTGAGTTCTGAAAAAAATAAGCATGCCAATGCATTCATGTTTTCCTCTTTGAGTGAAAGCTCTCTCTGTTATGCCCCCCCCCGTTCCCTCCCTCTCTCCCTCCCCTTTCCTGATGGCTGGTGGTGGCTCCTACTTATTTTGGCATACTCAGTAACACGGCAGGGAGCCACACAAGTGATGAACTGGGTGCTGCCAAGACTGCTCCCAAAGTCCTGTGAGGACAAGATATTCAAATAACTGAGGGCGTATTATGTGGGAAAGAATACTTCTACCCACAGATCAAATTTCGATCTTGGCAGCCCATGTAGAGTTCATTCCCAGGTTCTGAAATCCTGGTAGGAATGTACAATGTGAAAAGCTCAAACAAAATGGATAGGACAGGCCTCCAAGGACTCTGCAGGGAAAATCGGGACATTGACACCAGCAGTCCCTTGCATTGTCAGGACTGGCTCTGGGTAGAAGCGATGGATCTATCTTGATGGGGGAATCTGGCCATGCCACAGGTATACTCAGGATGCCAGTTATCTTGGGAGCTGAGATGAGCCCTTGTGAGCAGGGTGCTCGACTTTAAGAACAGGCCGGTTATGACTGTGGTGCTCTTTAGGCAATTTAGACTCATGTTTGACAAAGGGATAGGGATGCACAGATGTGAACCCTGGGCATCCATCAGCAGAACTTCAAAAGCAGGACACCAGGTGTCCCTGGCACACAGCTCCATGGTGGGTGGGCATGCTCTGGACCACTCTCCAGCTGAGACACACATAACTCATGTTGTAAGGAGGGTACAGTTCATGTAGTTTCATTCTCTGTACTCTACACAAGAACCCTAGGAAACACAGTTGTCATATTCAAATGACAGCTGAGTAAAAGAGTAGTATTCTTACAGACCAGCAGTGGTAGAGTTACGATCTAAAGCTTCGATCCTTATGCACCCCTGACTCCCAAAGACCTTGTTAATGGCTGGTATTGAAGGAAACACTGTTAGAAACGTAACTCTGAACCATCCAGGGCCAGATCTGACTTCTTAAAATAGGCATCAAGGTTTAACCATGCCCCTAGAGAACTCAGTCCTCAAGGGATAATAAATTCTATATAATGCTATATGCTGACCGGCTTTTGAAGAATTAGCTGGTGATTTGCCAACTATTTGGAAAACATATCACTAGCATCTCACTAAAATTCCCTCATCATCTCCTCTATGAAAATTTAAAGCCCAACTTGCTAGATAGGTGCTTCAAACCATGCAACTGTGATGCCTTAGGTTGCTTCTACTAAACATAAAAATGGTCTTTTGAGTTCTTAGGTAGCATCCAGGCCCACAGAACGTACCATAGATGTGGACACGTTTCCTGAGACATTGGGTGTGCCAGCACGTTACAATTGGACCCCTTGTTTGGAATTTGTTTTATGCATTATTATTCTTCTTTTCACTTCTTGTACTCTTCTTGTTGAATACAAGTTTACGCAAAAGTAAAGCAATGGAAAATTTGTTCCTCAGAGAGAAATTAAAGTTATCCCTCTGTCGCAACATTTTGGTGAAGGGGAAATGGCCTTATTAATGATGTTTAAATAAAAACAAATGCCAAAGGCAGCCAGCACTTTCATAATTGTTCCATTTCTCCTGGTTTGGATGCGGCACAGGACTGCAAATGCGGTGTCTTACAGCAGGGCCTGACTGGAAGCTGTTCCACTTTCTGAATGTGACTCATATGTAGAAACTTATTTCCTCCTCCTTCCAATTAAGCCAGACTTCTCTCAAATCTCCCTGCCATCAACCCAGCTGTAATCAGTTGTTTGGCTGTAGCTTGGGAAGGGGAAGTGGTCATTTTTCAGCCAGTTCATGGCAGATGGATATGTAGGGCGAGAGAAGATTAGGGTGAAGAGGAAAGTGAGACAGGACTTGTGTCCCAAAAGTAGATGCAGCCTTCTCCCAGGGGCCACCCTGAGCCTCTTTATCTAGACACCAGGGGCCTTTTCTCCAGTGTCTGTCCCCTCCTTGTTTCATTGTCTCTTAGTGCTGGTCGTCACCTATGTGACCTATTGCTTTTTTGCCTTCCTGGTTGGAAGCTGTGCTTGTGGCTGTGGCTTTGGTCTTAAGTTGCTGCCATCCCTGGAATTTAGTAGTTAGATCAGTAGCATTTCAGGGAGTGAGAGAGACAACTGAACTCTTAGGGTCCAGGACGACCAGCCTGGGAAAGCAAGGTTAGTCTTCACAAACCACAACCCTCTCTTGACCCTCTGTGTCTAGCAAGGAAGAGAAGAGTGCTGTGTTGTTTGTGTCCTGGGGTCCCTTAGGGAACCTGATCTACAGGCTGACCCTTCTCCATGTTGTGTTGTACTTAACCCACAGGACCTACCAAAACGGAGAGCTGTGTTTGTATTATTTAGAGGCTGTCTCTTACAGACCCCCAAAATGTCAAGTCAAGAAAACAAGCTTCCAATTTTGCTAAACTTGAAGGATAACAATTTTGAAGCAAAATGTCACTTCTAAGGGGATGATTAGGTTTCAGTTACTCTGTCTTGTGTATCAAAAAGTGCCAAGTAAGCGTCATGTATTAGCAGTCTGCACTTTCAGGTCCCAAATGGAGGAGTTTGATTTCTTATACAATGAATATGAAATAAAAAATTCCTAAATCCAGGGCAAATCCCCGAAGACCTGATTAAAAACTGTTTTTTATTCATTTTGGGAAGGGAACAACACACAACCAATTTACTCTTGCCATAAAAACAATCTAATCCCATGAAATTATAATAAGCTTTGAAAGTTTCACGTTTCAAACTTTTCATTTAGACAGGGCTGTGCCTATCTAATTATGCAGATTCTCTTTGGAAAGACTGGAAGCAGAAAGGAGAAAAATAATCAGACTGAAATTTTCACTAGATATCGATGGGGTTTAAGGTACATTCTTCTTCTAAGGGAACTAGCTGTGTTTTGCTGCCAAGTGAGTGTTAGAGTTGCCTCAGCTTCAGGGTAAAGAAAAAGACACTAGTTAATTTCCATTCAGTATAGAGTTCTGACACGGTGTAGGTATTTATTTTTTGTTGGAAAATGATGCTACCTCTGAGTGTGAGGATGTCTTTTAGAGGGCTCTTGTTAAAGACTTGCTTTGTTTATGGTGTAGTGCATGTCTCCCTCAGTGCTTAGTGAGGGCATTGACTTTTGAGCACCTGACCCAAGAGATTGGTTCTCAGAACCAGTCGGGTGACTGGGTAGATGGGTGGATGGGTGGAGGGGTGGACAGGTTTGCTCTGAGATATCCAGTGCTGTGTAACCAGAATTTCACTCCTGCCTCTTTGGCTGTTTGCATCCTGCATGCCGTGTTTGCTCTTTGCCTCTGAAATGGGATTTTATTATGTTTTCCTGCAGAAAATGCGATTCAAGCCTTTGGCAATGGCTCAGATGTGAACATGTGGCAGCCAGCTCTGCCAGCACAGACCACTACTGCCACCACCACCACTGCCTTCCGGGTCAAGAACAAGCCTCTAGGGCCAGCAGGGTCTGAGAATGAAATCCCCACACACGTTCTGCCACCTTGTGCAAATCTTCAGGTGAGAAGCAGAGCCGGCTTCTGGGGGAATGTGTGCTCGTCACCTGAAAGATGCACAGGGGCAGGTGTCAGTGCCACTCAGGTTTGGATCATTTTTCAAAAGAGTCTTTCATGTTCACGTGTGTCCCTGTGTATAATGTGGGATCCCATGTGCAACCACAGGGCCAGCCTTCTTCCGTGCTGTGTGAGCCACAGGGCCAGCCTTCTTCCGTGCTGTGTGAGCCAGGCTAGTGAGGAGCTTTGGGGATGGTCCCTACCTCCTGTCTGGTTATAAGAGTGCTGGGATTGCAGATCCAAGCCACTGCATCTGGCTTTACATGGGTTCTGGGGATCTGAACTCGGGGCTTCATCCAGGTATGGCGAACGCCTCACTTATTGAGCCATCTCCCCAGACCAGATGGAATCTGGACGTTGCATTTTCAACATTGTAAGAGGCAATTGTGATGTCTCATAGAGGGAAGAAAGACGGACTACGAAGCTAACTGCCACTTCCCGAAGATGTGACTATGATCATGCCTCTACAAAATGAGGAGTCTGGGCAGATAGATATACCACTAAGGATATTTTGGGGGCGGGGCGGGGTGTTTGTATAGAGTTGGGTTAGCTATCTATATCTTCTGTGTTCTTGGTAAACAGCAGCATATCAAAGAGAGAGTGTTCTTGGCTTGTCGCCATCAGAGCCATTTAAACAACATGGAATGTTGAACTGTCTCAGAAGGTAATCAGAGGCGGTGTTACTAGCTGCTATGTAGAGTCCCGGAGAGATTAGTTATTTACCAGGCCAAAAAAAATGCTATTCCAGAGTAAGAGGAGAGGCACAGTGCCATGGATAACCTTGTATGTGCAGAGTGCAGTGAGAATGACCAAGGAGCGTCTTGAAGACTAACCCTGGTGTGCCTGAGTTGTTGCGAGGTACGAACACAGCCTTTCGACATCTTCAGAGGGTGTGCTTGTTCTGTGGTATTACTGAGTTTGCATAGTAGTGAGTATTCAACTGCCAACAAGATATTAGTGATTTGGAGGTTTGCATGGGCTCGTATGCCCCCAGACTCCTTGGGTGCACCTGTTGTGGATAATTGGGAAAGGGTGGTTACTGAGACATGGTGATCCAGCCCTTGCATCTGAGGACACAGGCTTCTGGAGAACAGTGTTTCTATTCAAGTCGGCAGAGCTGGTGGGTCACAGAAGCCGTGCTGGGAATCCAAGAATGTCATCTGTCCATGGTTGTTCCTATATGCTGAGGGAAGAGGTGACCACATGGTGGCTTCTGTCTTCTGCCATGCCAGGGCAATGGGTGGTTAGTCTATTCGCTGCTGTTCCGGTTGTTACAGGCTCTCATGTGACCCCTAATGACCTTGAACTTGCTATGTGTGTAAAGGGGGCTTATAGACTGGTGCCACCATACCTAATGCACGCAGAACCGAGGATGAAACCCAGGACTTCTTGTGTGCTACTTTCAATCCATTGTGATGGGACCTCACTCTTAGCACAAGAGTTGCTCTCCCTTTCCACCTCCCTGGCAAGGGTCAGCCCCTCTGGAGCATTCTTAGAAATGCCTTCTTCATCCACAAGCACCGTGCTCTCTAGAAAGTGTTGGGCAGTTCTTCCATCTAATCCGTATAACATTGCCTCAATCTCAGCGCTCTTCGTGTGAGCATTGGCGTCTGTCTTGTAGTGCCTCTGGGTCCTCACTCCCACACACAGTTTCAGACATATTCATTCACCGCAGACAGCAGGGAGAAATCAGATCACACAGCTCAACCTCAAGCCCAGCATTCTTTGGCTTTTCCGAACCACCTTCTGAGCCCTTGCCATCTCCAGATCCCCCTCTGCAGAGTGTCAGAGCTGGGAGGCAGCACGGGGAGTGGTCAGTGGCAGCTGCTGCTCCATTCTGCAGCAGGGCCCTGAGTCTGAAAGAGGAAGTGATTCCTTGAGTCTCCCAGGCTGGTGGAGGCGGATCTAACATCCAGAATGACAAGGTCAGTCTCTTCTCTTGTTTCTGGTCAGGGCTCTGGGCCTGTCTCTTCCCCTTCTTGCTGCACACACACAGTCAGCCTTGGCTCTCTCTCTGTGCCTCCCACCCTCAGACTCCAGCCAGATGAAGGATATGACCTTGTCATCAAAGCTGATGAAGGTGGGCCAGGCATGCTTTCTGGTCACTAAGGGAAAGAGCTTGTCTTTCGGCAATATCTGCAGCATTCTGTGCACATTCAGATACACAAAGGGTGACTCGGGTGCCACCCACAGTCCATTGCCAATTTCCTCTGATGTACAAGCTGCATAGACCTGGCATTCAAAAACTGAAACATAAGTTCACTCCTCAGTGAACAGAGTCTAATGGGCAGGATGCAACTTGCCCGCAGTTTCGGAAGGTCAGACGGGTAACTAGGTGACATCTCAGATTGGAAACCATGGCACTCTAGTTCCCCTCCTTGCTCCCGTGAGTAGAGATGACTCTGTGTCCTCTGCTTCTCCGCTTCCTTTCATTGTCGCTATCCCAGCTCCAGACACAGGTATGCCTGCCAACCATCCTGCCAGGAGGACTCTGTGTACCACTGCACAGTTGTCCTGGCAACACTGTGAACACCTGAGCTTCATCTCCCCAGAAACCATGCCTTTCCACTCCCAGCGTTAGCTAGTGTAAGGGCTCTGGTTTGTAAATAGAAGAACAAAGGTAAAATTAAAGTGTGATGTCTCTCTCTTGGGGTTGCCTCTGTTGACTTCTCCACTAAAAGGGCTGAAGGAATTGAGTTGTTCAGGATAGAAGGCAGCTACTCCTCTCTTCCTGTGATACACAGTAGACCTGAGCAGCATTTGGCGTTAGGGAGAGGAGGTCTGGGAGTTTCACTGAACTTGTCTTTACAACTGAGATGTAAGATGAAGGTGTTAGCATCGTGGCCTTAACCAGTGTGCTAACCCTTTAAGCCTTGCCTTCCTCGTCCAGTGAGCACAAGTATTGCCTAGCTGCTGGGCAGTGGGGCAGAGTAGGTGCTCCATCATGACTTGCAAAAATGACCATCATGATGAGGTCACATGATCCATCTGTTACAAAGATGAATGGTGTTGCTGGGCCTTGCTCCGGAATGGGGGTCTGAGGCATGCTAAGGAGCACTGGCATGAGACGGAAATGGCGGGTGAATGATAGTGCATTTCATGCCTTCAAGTATGTCACCTCTCTCTCCCCTTTCTCCTCAGAGCACCCCTGTGGAGCAGACACTGCAGGCATCCTTTGCTGAGGATAGTGACTTAACCAAACTCAGTTTGTCTTTGGCAGGCTCATCCCAAGGCCAGTGTATCATGACACTTGGACAACTGTGTCTTTCTGCATTAGGAATGGACAGTGAGAGGACACAAAGGACAGGGAAGAAGGCAAGGAGGCTGCCCTAGTTCCTGCTGAAGGTCATTCCAGGAATGAAGTGCAAATCTAAAGTTCACACTTTACTCAGGGCTACTCCTGGCTTCAGGTCCAGGACACAGGGTACGGGTGACTGAAAGTTTGCCAGTGAAAGTTTTGTAGCTTGATGACCTCCTTAGGGTGACCTACATGAAGAATAGCTGAAGGATAATTTAAGGCCACAGAATGGGGGTTGATGGCGGTGACAAGTGAAGGGCCTTCACCCTGAGAACATGGTCCCTCTGGCTGATTTAGGGCTCAGCTCAGTGCACGGCTCCCAGGAGGCCCATTCTCCTCAGATGCCTGTCTTTCCTTCGTGCCTGGCTGTAGATGAATTACCATTTGCCAGGGGGGTCCTAGAAATATCTTTGAACAGTGTTTGTCCCTGCTGCCTGAGTCATGACTTAGAATAGAATTTACTTAAACCAACGTGGGATCCATTGGTAACAAATCTGGAAACAGTCAAAGACCTTGGCAGCCTTAAAGATCACCTCCATAGAGACGCACCCTCTTGTAATATTTTTAAATACACAATAACACGAGAAGACTCTGTGGGACTGGAGAATCTATCTTAACATTTGAGATAGACTCCCCGTTGGAAGGACAGAAAAAGAATAAATATATATTTTTTCAAAAGTCTGCCTAGAGCCAATAGCAGACCTGCGTGGGGGAATGGGTGGCCTTGGGCCTGGTGATCATAGGCTCATGGGTGGCTGCTGGGGAAGGCTCTATTGAAAAAAAAAAAAAAAAAAGTTGATTGATTAGTATAAAATGTCAAGGAGATGTCCAAGTGTTGGCCCCCTGAGGTGATAAAATACCGGGTTTGGGGTAACATGCCAAGCTCCCATGGCAGGATTAATTAATTGGCAGTCATAGTAGTAACAAGCGTCATGCAAACTGGGCTATTGTTAGCCTATCCCTCTGACTTGTATGAAATGGTCACACAAGAAACAAAGAAACCTTAATAATTCTACAAATTACTTCATCATCTGTACACTCGAGTGGCCTGGCAGCAGGAAATGCTTTGAGTATTTAAACCAAAAGAGTGTACTTGTCGCTTATTTAAAGCAAACATCTCTGGGAATGTAAGTGGGTATCGGAAAATGTTTGGAATCACTGTGCCCTCTTAGAGTCAGTCCACACACCCCCCACACACCCAGTGAAGACCCCTTGATGGTGTTACTTAAAGACCTCTAGGATCTAAATCTAACTACAGTGGCATTGTTTTGGGTATCTGTAGGGGGGAGGTTCCCAAGACTGCTAAAATCCATGCCCTGTTTGCTTTAGGAGGGAAGGGTCTCACATTGTACTCCAGCCTGCTCCCCTCAAGTGCTGGGATTTTAGAGACAAATTATCACACTTGCATCAGGTCCTGTGTGTGTGTGTGTGTGTGTGTAGTTTTGTGTGCATGTAGTATGAGTGTGCACGTGTAGGGCAGAGGTCAGCCTCCAATGTTATTCCTTAGGAAGCCACCCACCACATTCCAGACAGGGGATGACACTTTACCTTTAACTTTCAGGTTAGGTTTGGCTGGTTGGTTGGTGAGCCCCAGTAGAGACTGGCCTGACTCTACTTCCCTGGTGCTGAGCTGGCAAGCATGTGGCTGA